ATACACATATATATGTACATACATACACATATATATGTACATACATACACATATATATGTACATACATACACATATATATGTACATACATACACATATATATGTACATACATACACATATATATGTACATACATACACATATATATGTACATACATACACATATATATGTACATACATACACATATATATGTACATACATACACATATATATGTACATACATACACATATATATGTACATACATACACATATATATGTACATACATACACATATATATGTACATACATACACATATATATGTACATACATACACATATATATGTACATACATACACATATATATGTACATACATACACATATATATGTACATACATACACATATATATGTACATACATACACATATATATGTACATACATACACATATATATGTACATACATACACATATATATGTACATACATACACATATATATGTACATACATACACATATATATGTACATACATACACATATATATGTACATACATACACATATATATGTACATACATACACATATATATGTACATACATACACATATATATGTACATACATACACATATATATGTACATACATACACATATATATGTACATACATACACATATATATGTACATACATACACATATATATGTACATACATACACATATATATGTACATACATACACATATATATGTACATACATACACATATATATGTACATACATACACATATATATGTACATACATACACATATATATGTACATACATACACATATATATGTACATACATACACATATATATGTACATACATACACATATATATGTACATACATACACATATATATGTACATACATACACATATATATGTACATACATACACATATATATGTACATACATACACATATATATGTACATACATACACATATATATGTACATACATACACATATATATGTACATACATACACATATATATGTACATACATACACATATATATGTACATACATACACATATATATGTACATACATACACATATATATGTACATACATACACATATATATGTACATACATACACATATATATGTACATACATACACATATATATGTACATACATACACATATATATGTACATACATACACATATATATGTACATACATACACATATATATGTACATACATACACATATATATGTACATACATACACATATATATGTACATACATACACATATATATGTACATACATACACATATATATGTACATACATACACATATATATGTACATACATACACATATATATGTACATACATACACATATATATGTACATACATACACATATATATGTACATACATACACATATATATGTACATACATACACATATATATGTACATACATACACATATATATGTACATACATACACATATATATGTACATACATACACATATATATGTACATACATACACATATATATGTACATACATACACATATATATGTACATACATACACATATATATGTACATACATACACATATATATGTACATACATACACATATATATGTACATACATACACATATATATGTACATACATACACATATATATGTACATACATACACATATATATGTACATACATACACATATATATGTACATACATACACATATATATGTACATACATACACATATATATGTACATACATACATATACATACATACATATACATACATACACACATACATACATATATTATACACACACACACAAAGAAAAACAAGTAGATAGAATAGAAAAAATAGAAAGCTAGTGTTTGTTAGTTTTTTGTTGTTGTTTTTTTAAATAAAAAATAAAACAAAAAAGAAGATAAATATAGATAAAGTAGAATTAAAATAGAATAGAAAGTGTTAAGAGTTAGAGGGTCAAATAAAGGTGGAACAGATGTGTTTTTAGTCGTTTCTTGAAGATGGTTAAGGACTCAGCTGCTCGGATTGATAAATAATTCAATAATTATAATCATAATTCAAGTGATGAAGGATTTTAAAAGTCTGACAGTAATCAGTGTTGAGACCTACTGTAAGGTTAACCCTGCCTGCTTTAACCGTTTCAAAATGATTAACATTTGAAAACATTAGAAATGTAGAAAAGTAATAAGAAAAGTTTTCAGTTGTAATCAGTTTACATTACTTAGGTCTAAATAAAGAAATCATTGAAATAGTTACTACATATTACATTTTAAGTAGGGTAACTTGTAATCTGTAACCTATTACATTTCCAAAGTAACCTTCCCAACACTAGTAGTAGTAATTGTATATATTGTCATCACTTATAACAAAATATATATATATATGTTAAAATGTACCACTGTACTGCCATGGTACTCTTGTGAGTATCTTGAAGAATAGTAAAAACATAGTAATGGTATATCATGGGACATTCGTGTACTTTAATGTACTTGTAAGAATACCATAGTAATATAATGGTACTCTGACAAAAACCACTGTACTTTCAGGAAGGACGGATAACGTTACCATAGTAACTTCAGTACCATGGTATATCTCAAAATACCATGGTACAGTGATGGCAGCAGATGGTTGTACCACCACTATACATTTTCGGGGAGTAGAATGTTCAAAGCCCTGGTACTACCTAAACTAATACAACAATAAAACACAGTTTTACTGCGGTATATTTTATTTTCAGTGCGCTTCCTGATACAGTGAAGGCTGAGCCAACCTGCAGCTGAACACAACACGAGTCTCTCACGCGTCAGAATAACCACTCACCAGCCCATCGATCTGGATCTGTTTCACCGGAGAATCCAGTGGATTGGAACCCGAAACAGCTGATTCTTTAAGGCTGCCCATTGTCTGATAAAGAGGGAAAAGGGCCAAAGCACGTGCAAGGAGGTTTTTCCGGAACGACGCGACTACTTCCTGTAAGAGGACTTTACGAGAAGACGTTTACCTTGTCAAAATAAGAGTCGCGATTTAAGAACATAAATGGGTGATTCTCGCGTTTTCGTTCTAAAATTAAAAGCAAAAATACTGCATTGTGATATATTAATCACATAATCATTTAGCAGCTCACACTAGAAGTTAACTGATCAAAAACAGCGCAATGGCTTTATTTCAAATGGAGTACTAGACTACTGTACTGCGTATTTAGCAGTGCATTCTGTATACTCCCTACTATTTGCCATTAGCATGTGAAACAATGGATATTACGCAACAGTAAACGTTTGAAACAGTATTATGTTATATTGATGTCAACCCTCATTATGCTGCAGGTATCGTCACTTAAACGAACAAAATTTGTATTTAGTGTCTTACTTTACATTTAATCGTTTAGCAGACGTTTTTAGCCAAAGCCACTTACAAATGAGGACATTAATGGCAGCAATCAAACTCAACTCGTTACTCGAAACGTCACACGCTAGGTGAACGTTTTTTAAATACATTTTTGATACTTTTGGAGCTTTGGTGGTGCCGACTTTATATTAATTTTTTTCTACTTGTTTTTTAGTCGAGCATCCATTTGAGGTTGATGTTTTTAGCAATCAAAATCAACAAATGCTAAAACAAGTCTCAGCTTAACGCAGTATACGTAGCAAGGTTTTTTTTTTTTATTTATATAATAAATAAAATGAAAACAGATAGAATCGAAAAATAATAGAGCAAGCTAGTGTTAGAGGCCTTTTTTGCTTTTGTTAATTGTATAATAAATTAAAAGAAAACAAATAGAATACCAAAATATTAGAGAAGCTAGTTTTTTTTATTTTTAAGAATAGAATTAGAATAGAGAGTGCTAGAGTCAGAGGGTCAAATAAAGATGGAAGAGATGTGTTTTTAGCCGATTCTTGAAGATGGCTAAGGACTCATTCTCAGTCTTTGTGTAAGAATGCCAAATAATTAAGAATAACATTGCATTGTGGGATGATACAGTATTGATATATTATAATAGAACCAGAACATTTCATAGGGGGGCACACTTTTTTAAAAATCTGAGTAACAGACATTCACCCAAACAATAACAACCCGCATTATAACTGAAACAGAACACCAATAAAGGATAGTTCAACCTAGAGAAATTTAGATAAATTAATTACTCAAAATCCATTTGCATTATGCCTACACACTACAAGACCCGGTTTTCTTTTTACATGTTCCTGCAGCAGAGGTATGTTGTTTTTTGTCCAGTTCTGAGTTCTACAAACTCGTGAATGCTCTCGTTATAACAAAGCAAGCATAGACACGATGTAAATAAGAGATTCACTGTGAGAGAGAAAATTCTAAATGCCCACCTCAGTGAGTATTCACTTTATCAGTCGATGCAAGTAAGCACTGTGCGTTGTACACTCACTCATACACACACAGAACTCTAAAAAGGATTTATGCTCCTCAGGTGGTAACTCAACCTCACATTAAAAGCCCTGTACAATTAATTACATCCTGCAGCTTATTTATTGTTTGTTGCATGTTTAAGTTTTTTTTTTTTTGTGGCTCTTTCTGAAAAATGCTTTAACAAAAAAATGGAGGGAAATGGTTCTTTGGTCAAAAAAGGTTCCTGACACCTGACCTAGGTTGAAATTAATATTTTTTGTTAAAAACCATAGATCCCAATCAAATACAAACAATAAAGAGCAACGTAAAATCAGAGGAATGGAGGAAACATTTTTTTTTGTCCAAATCAATTATCAAAATTTAATCACAAGTGCATAAAAATTCCAATTGTATGCAGGAGTTTAACAAACCTTTAATAACCATAATTGCCATTAAAAGAGAGATACAAAACATTGAACTATTGTGTTGTTAAATCCACTTGGGTTTCCAAAAATAAACCTTTGTCTCTCATTGTGACATTATTAAAAAGTTCAAATGTACACATAACTAACTCTACTTAAATGTAAAACTTACTGGGGTAGCGCTTATGAAGGAAAATAAAAACAGAACAATGGGGGAAAAAAGTAGTGAAACTGAACAATCCCAATGGCTTTGACAATATGGAGGTCCAACATGTACTAACAAATAACACCCATGTAGGTACAATGTCTTCATGATCTATTGGATGTGACTCAAAACCTTTAAAATTGTCCCCAAAGGACAAAAACTGATACAAAAAGCAACAGTAGCAAAACAAAACTGTTAAATACAACTACTAAAAACATGCATCTATACAATATGGAACCGCGGTCCTGGCGTGGCGATAATGGCGCTGTACGGCTCGGTCTGCGTCAGCTCGATGGCCTGCTGTTTCTTCAGCACCAAGAAGCTGTAAAACTTGGCTGCTGCCTGTTTCTTGTTGTTGTTTATGCACAGCTCGAGCAGGCTGATGGACTGGGCTCCAGTTTTAGCCACCACACGCTGCCAAAACACAGAAGAAAATGAGGAAACGTGTTTTGAACATTTTTCTTGTGAAGATATATGGTCCAAATACAAACCTGAAGACCGTGAAGCATCTGCTGAGTTCTCTTGTTCCACCGTCGCTCCTCTTGGTCCTGGTCTCCTTGTCCCTCCTCACCCTGTTGATTAAAGCACATTGAACAATTATCAGTAACATATGGAAGCTTGTTTCTGCAAGGGGGGGGGGATTCTTTCACAATTGTCAGAAAAAAAGTCAGAATTGCGAGATATAATCTCAGACTGACTTTTCCTTGCATTTTTCCCCCTCAGAATTACAAGAAACTCAGAATTGTGAGATATGAAGTCAGAATTCTATTAGAATTATGTTTTGTTTCTGCCATGACATTAAAAAAAAAGAACTAAGTAGTCAGAATTGCAAGACCAACTCAGAATTTGACATTTTCCCCCCAGAATTGCAAAATTTAAAGTCAGAATTGCAAGATGTAAACTCGCAATTGAGAGAAAAAAAAAATCAAATTGCAAGTTTATCTTTACAAACCAATTGCAAATATTTCTTCTCGCAATCGAGTTAGGTCCCAACTCAGAATTCTGACTTTTTCTCTAAATCCTGAATTCATAATTCTGTTTTTCCCAACACAAAAATAAAAAGGTAACTGCTACTTTTTCCTCTCATAATCCTGACTTTTTTCTTAGAATTCTGAGGAAAAAGTCTGAATTGTGAGATATAAACTATATAAAAAGTCACAATTCTTTCCGATGTGGGATCGGGCTTCCATAGCAATGGCAAAGTCAAAATGAGACATTTTCTTCCACCTTTCAATGACAAACGTCTCACCTCTTCGTCGCTGTCATCCTTGTCTTTCTCCTTGCTTTTGTCATCTAATAGGTCCAGCTCTGGTACCAGTCTAGAGAGGTTAGTGCAGTCCTCAGGAGGAAGATCCACCTGGGGCATGTCGAGCTGTTGGGAAAGGACCGACTGATCCACGGGTTGAAGCATCTGATCCAACACTCCCATTTGCTGGAATGACAATTGAGCACATTAGACTACATTCCAAAACCTTTACAAAGCAGCATGATTATCTGGTTGGACTTACAGGCAAAGCTGCATCTTTCTCAAGCGACTTGCGCTTGACTCCACGCTGGCGAGATGGAGGTGGCATCATGGACTCGTCCAGAGCGGTTCTGCTGCCCTCCATAGAAGAAGCCTGCAGCATACTGGGCTCCTCCATGATGGTCTGATCTGTAGGGCACAAGTAGGAGACTTTAACTTGAGGCTTTCAAATGACTATGACACAACTGTGGGGTTTTCAAACTTTTAGCCATGGACCCCCAAATATGATCTCCTCATTCAAGAGATCCCCATTCTAAAATTTAAAAGGCAACTATATTTTTAAACGTATAAAGACTAGGGATATTCTCATTAACTAAAACCATGAAAAAAAAATACTTTTCCCTACTTGAAATAAAATGTAATGTAAACTGTATAATTAAAAAAAAAAAAAAAACGTATTTCAGCTAGTTGCAATTTTTGTTTAGTTTAAGTTAACTAGAACATTAATAAATACTATATGGATATTTAAAAAAAAACACACAAATGATAAACACAACAATATTATTAAAACTTTAAAATAAAACCCAGTATATATAAATCAAATCTTAAATCATATATGTATCTCTCTCAACTATACTAAAATAACCAATAAAGACTAAATTTATATTGTGAAAAATAAATATTATATATGTATAAAATATTACATGGGAAAATATTTAGTTACATTGTGTTTTCTACTCCTTATAGTGCTGTACTGTTAAACGTATTTGAAATCTATTTTTCTTATTTACATATAAAATATTTGTATTATCCATTTTAATCTTTTTTTTTTAATCTCTTTTTATTTTTAACATTTTTACGCTTTTCTATTTTCAGTATCATGTGTTTTCTAGATACTACAATACTGTACTATTTATTTAAATACAGTTGTATTATTTATTTGAATACTTTTTATTCAGTTAAACTTATTTTACTTATTTGTTTTCACCTGTCACTCACTTGTGGTCCCCAGACCCCAGTTTGAAAACCCATCTGTTAAGCTACAGCAGTCGTGCTTATATAGCCACTCAACAGCAAGTCAAGAGCTTACCAATCACTTCACTCCTGTGACCCAGCACCTCCTCTCTAGGCACTTCTGGGTTCTCCAGCTCCTTCAGGAAGTCCTCCAGGCTGTCGGCCTCTCCTCCCTTCCTCCTCTTCCTCAGCTCATCAGGCACCAGTGGAGTCAAGCAGCGAGTAAACATCTACAACAGACACATTTCCCGTTAATTTAGCCCTGAGCTTTATCACACTGATGTTACAGTGACATAAGATCAACCATCACCTTCAGCAGTCGGCCGTTCCAGAGAGGCTGAGCAGGCAATGAGAACAGCTTCTCTACACCGCCAGTTTCCTTCCACATCATCAGTTTCTTAGTAGGAGGAGCCAAATCCAGCGTGGTGACGATATCGGAGTAGTCGCTCAACTGAGCGCGGATGGTCTTACTGTCCAACTCCTTCAGACTGTCGACAATGAGCTTTCTCTTTCTCTTAGCCTTGGTCTCTTTCACTAAGAGCACACCACAAGTGTTGTATTAATTCATATTCAGGCCACAAAAATCATAATATAGATGGTTGAAACAAGCTGAGACTGAGTTGAAATGAGACTGAGATCCATTTGATAATTTAATTCAATGTAAATTTTTTGTTCATTTTTACCAGTAATGTCAATGGGCTCAAGAGCAAAAGCTTCGTCTTCATTGGGCACCAGAGTGGTCTGTTCTGTCTGGTCTGTGGTGTTGGGAAGAGGCTCCACTGGTCCAGAGTCTGGACTGTCAAGACCGGCAGCAGCTGAAATGATAATGTAGACACATTATGAGAGTAAATGACTTTACACTTGTGTTTGCTGTTCATATTGGTTTAAAAATGCAAAAAAAATTAAAAAAAAATGCATTTCAAATATACTTACTTCTTGCTCACAAATTCATCATAGAAAACTTTACTACAGAAAAGACCCTTTAATCCCTCATTATTGTGAATCAGGGTTTTTAAATATATAAACAACTTACATTTTTGTGACATGGAAAGGTTTGTTCAAGTTATCTAATGGTAAAACACCAAGAAATGATTTGTTAGAAAAGAAAAATACTTGGTAAAACTATTTTATAATATCCTTGTTACATACTTACTATAGTACTAACAGTACAAAATGCATTATTACAAGCAACTAACCCTAAACCAAACTCTAACCCTATAACGAAGTATATTTTGTTAATTAAACTTACTCGGCATTTAATTGTATAACCTTAAAATGAAATGTAACCAATTTTTTAATGTAGAGAATTAACATGAATACAAAAAAACTTTTAATTTATACATTTCCATAAAAACTTGATATGGCAGGGAAAACTTCAATAAACATTTTTTTACTTCATAATCCACATTTCTAGTTATTTTATAGAAACAAGCTATTTTGTAGGATTTACTTACGAGAAAAAGCATCAAAGTCGTCGTCATCATCACCGTGGTCTTGAGGCATCATCACACTGCCTGTGATTGCTGGAGGATCATCGAATATACCACCACCATCCTCATTGCTCAGAATCTTATCCACTGAAATTGAGCAGACACAGGGTTTAGTATCACATCATCATCATATGAACACTATACAAGTCAAATTGGAACTTACTCAGAATTCCACCATCACTGTTTTCCAGGTTGTTCTCCCCAAAGTCGTCATAGTCAAGGTTGGTTGATTTGTCAGGGAGGTGAGCGGGACCAGGCTCAGCTTCCAGAAGCAGGGTGGCGGCAGAGGATCCATGGATGATGTCCACCTCAAAAGCATTCTCTTCCCTCATTATCTCACGATCATCCATACCAAAGTCACCTGATATGACATTACCAGCATTAAGTTATGGAGAACATGGATCACGTGACTTACTAGAATAAATCGTGTTTCCCACACACAGACTGCTCAGATGGGGTGCCCAGGTATCACAATAATCCACAAGACTCCAGTCCACCAATTATCTTGTAGTAAAGTGAAAAGCTGCATGTTTCTAAGAATCAAAACCATTATTAAGGCATTTTAACTTTAAACCATCACTATACCAGTCCAAAATCTATAACAATGCTTCCTCCAGTGAAAAAGCCCATCTCTTGTTGTCCTCTCACATCAAAATCCACCCACATTTGCCTTCGCTTGTAAACGGTGCTTGATCTGTGCATATTTCTCTCCTGATTCAGACAAGGTGAAATTTTCACTGGAGAAAGCAGCCGAAAGCAATGGTTTGAAGTTAAAAACTTTAAAAATCTTTATGGATTTCTTACAAACATGAGATATGAAAAGAAATGGTCTATTTTAATATAAAAATGTTATAACGTTTTGTAATAAGAATAGAGCTATAAATAGAAATCAGTTTAAAGGTGCAATAGGTGATTATCTTCAGAAAAAAATTTCGTTATGCTGGTTGAAAGTCTCTTCACATCTGAATAGCAATCATTTAAGTTAAGTGGTCTAAATAGACCAAGAAATGTTCGTCCAATCAAAAAGCTCGGTCCGAGCGTTTTAATTGGCTTTCCTACCTGCCTGTCAACATATGTATTTGCATACCTCTGCGCACCCTGTTCGCGCAGACAGGATACGTCATCAGCGCGTTCATGCATGCTGTGCAGACGGAGCGAGAATGGCAGACAAACATCAACAAGCCGATCTTCCTTCATGGTATTGTAGTACTTTTACTAACTGTACTATAAATACTATTTAAATTCACATCTTGCACACTTTAATGCCCTTTGTATGGAACATATACGCTCGCTTCGAACTGGAATCATGGCGGAATATCCGGTGATGTACACTTCCCAGGGCACTCACGGTCGAATAGAACAAACGTCGCACATGATAAGAGATGCATATGAAATGTGCAGAGCAGGAGGGCGCAAGGATTGGAGTTGGGAACCGCTGATGTAGCCTATTGTAAAGTTGTCTCTGGTGTTCTGGTCTGTGAGCGTAAATGCGTTCAGGGGGCGTGGCCTTGGACGGCGATTGCAGGGAGGGTGGGACGTTCGCTTTCAGTGCTATCAGGCTAAAGTTAGCATTTTCCAAGATCTCCTACTGCACCTTTAAGTTTTAATTTAGAAAATACATTATTAATGTAATTAATCTACTAACACAAATATATTTCAGATCTGTGGGGAAACGGAAAGCTTACGAGTTTTTACCAAAGTCATTGTCGGCCATGAGACTGATGTTTCCTACTTCCTCCCTCATGGTGATCTCTTCAACACGACTCTGGTTCAGGGTGAACTGCTGTGCTACATCTATATCACTGAAATAGAGGGATTTAGGAATTTATAAATCATAAATGCAAAGTCACACTCAGGAGGAGTCCTTTACAACGGAAGAAATGCTTAGAGCATAACTAAAAAATTCACATAGATGATTTTAAAATTCCAGGACCACCGTGAAGTTTTAAACAGAAAGCAAAGTGACACCAATTACACTGTAAATATTTCATACACTGTCTGTGTATTAACGTACACCAAACATCTTGTGTTAAAAACAACAGAAGACAACAAGTGCTCCTTACTCCAGATCAGGAAGGGGCTGGTCAAAATCATGGAACTCCTCTGGTAAGGTGATGGCGTTGTATGCAGCCTCACGGTTGTCTTCTGGCAGATCAACAACACCTACAAAACACAATGCATTCTAGTAAATAGAGACAGTCAAACCCAGGTGACTTTGAAATCTATAGATTTCACTAAAATGTGCATTTAGATTCACTACCTGGGCGGAAAGCCATTTTTATCTTGATAAACGCTTCATTGCAATCAGCCAAAAGATATTTGGCTTTTCTATGGTAGATCCTCACCACACCCAAGAGAAGATGGCCAGATGTACGCAGAGCCATTTTCACCTATTTTAACAGTAACAAAACAGAATAAACATATGCATTGACACACACTATCCAAAAGAAAACAAGCAGCAGCGTTAAAGACGTACCTTTGGTGAAATTATGCTTTCCACGCTGCTCTCCAGGTTGCATTCAAAGACGTGTGCTTTTGTCAGCTTTTTGTCCCAGTGGGCCGCCAGCCAGATCTTGGCCAGCGGCCCACGTTTACTGAGGACGAAGTGGGCGTAAAACATTGCCCTGGTGTCTGGTCAAGGCTCCGAGATCTCTCTGCTACACCTGGAAAGAGACACAAGAGTGTTCGTTCAAAACTTAAGAGCATAGTAATGTCTCAAAACCTATGCACTGGAACATGACTACCTAGGCAGCAATTTAAGCACCATTGGCAACTCACTAGGTTTTGAGATACAGAATACACGAGAATGATAGAATGCATCATTTATACTGAAAGTGCAAGTGACGTGACATGTGGCCAAGTGATGGTGTCCCATACTTGGAATTAGTGCTCTGCATTTATCCCATCCAAAGTGCACACACAGCAGTGAACACACACACACCGTGAACACACACCCGGAGCAGTGGGCAGCCATTTATGCTGCGGCGCCCGGGGAGCAGTCGGGGGTTCGGTGCCTTGCTCAAGGGCACCTCAGTCGTGGTATTGAAGGTGGGAGAGAGAGCGCTGTACATTTACTCCCCCCACCTACAATCCCTGCCGGTACGAGACTCGAACCCGCAACCTTTGGGTTACGAGTCCGACTCTCTAACCATTAGGCCACGACTTCCCCAAAGGGACTTCCCCTGCACAACCAGCCAACGAAATGCACATACAAGCAAAAGTCAAATCGTGTGCAAGACTCTAAAAACACAGGTTTAGATTTGCTGTAAATATTATTCACTTAGTCTGAGTTACTAGTCAGATGCATTACATTAATAGCATTTAAAAGCATTGCCCGCCTTTACACCAACATTAACACGTGAAGGCGATGTAACGTTAACGTTATAACACAGTTGCACGCCACCAAGACGCCGTATTATCCAATGCAAAGCTTAAAAAAAAAAAAAGTCGAATACACGCGAAATATAGAAAAATGCATTAATAAAGATGGAAAAGAGTTGCGTTAATTTTCACCCAAGCGTTTGGCTAGGTTGTTGATTAGCAAGCTACGCTACTTAACCATAAAATAACCAATAAATATATAACTTCTAAGCTATAAGTGACAGAGTTTATTTTTGTAGTTCATAAACATCGAAAACAAGTTAGAAACCAATAATAGTTATAATTTAAACAATAACGTTACCTGCAAAGACAAATTATTTTCAAGCTACCGTTAGCAATTAGCATTAGCCAACTGTTGATTAGCAACAGCACGTAAGCGTCAAATTTCACCCTCCCGCTCATATATTCCACTTCACAAGCATATTTATCCGCAACAACACACATTTTCCGGAACGTACCATTCAAAATATGTTATCTGTGTTGATTACGGCTAGTCTATTCTCTCCCCTCCTGCGGAGAGAAGTTAGCAACCGTTTCCTCTCATTGAATCCGACAAAGATGGCGCGCGCTCTCGGCGGGATGTTTACAGTCAAAATTTGGCGGTGGGAGGAGCTTGGTTAGTGATTGACAGGAAGTGGCTGCAGGGGGGATGGCGGTAGGAGGGGCTTAGCTGGTGATTGACAGGACGTGGCTGTAGTGGAGCCCAATGACAGCGCGCTGTGCGATAGGCAGAGGGCGGTGTTGTGTTACTAAACGAATACTGGGTTTGAACTTTGAAGCTGAGGCGTCACAACAATGTGCGACAAGAAGTCGAATGAATCTATAGTTCCTGTAATAGTCACTTTTGTGTGCATGAACAGATGAATAGATATACATTTCATAACGTTCTCATAAAAGGTATACATTTGAATGCACTGTAGTTAAACGCTTTGGATAAAAATCGTCTGCCAAATACATAAATGTACAGACAGAGTAATTAAATAAAATTATGTAGGCCAAAATAATGGTCTGTTTGTTGTGTTTTATTTATTTATTTATTGTATGTTAAATGTGTGTGTGTGTGTGTGTGTGTATATATATATATATAT